TTAAAGACCTTGGATTCAACCCCTAGTGCCATTAAAAAGAAAAAAAAAAGCTCAGATTTAATTGAGTGTCTTGTAGTCTGTCTAGTAGCCCTGCTTTTCTGTCAGAGCCTGCTCTGCTTAAGAAAGCAGTGCATTGGGGTAGGTTTTCTTTTCCTGCAAAAGAGTGGAGGAAAGAGGAATGATACTTCCAGTCCTAGATTCTCTCTTCTCTGATCTTCAGCCAGATTTTCTTATTCATTGTTTTACATATTCTGTTTGCCTTTTTTTGTGTATGTGTGTTATTAGGGATAGAACTGGGGACCGTAGGCTTGCCAGGCACTTATGCCACTGAGCTATCTCCCTGGCCCTCTGCTTGCTTTCTTGATTCCACATCTTCGCTCTGCCAGTTTCCCCTTCTCGAAAGCCTTTCCTGTTCTCTAGAATATATTCCCAACTGCTTGACTCTTGCTGATTGCTGTCACTGACTTACAGCATGTACTGTCTCATATGGCAAGTTATACTCCTGTGTGTGGTGTATGTTCCTGATTATAGAAATTTTGTTTGTTCAGAACAGTTGGGCTAAGAAATGACTTGTGTTGTTTTTCAAGACACAATGTAACAGTACATGTTAGTTGGTTGGTCCCTCTTGGCTTTTTCTGGATTTTTGGTTCCAACTCAAGTTCTGTTATTTATGGAACTAAGACTTTGAGAAGATAAAGCTCTAAGCCTGAACTTGATCAGTTCTGAGCTATGAAATGAAGTTATTGTAGCACATTAAAGTTCCTGTGCTTGTGTGGCAATAGAAATAATGACATAGGCACTATTTGGGTGTGTTTGATTACATTTTAACTTGTTATATCCCAAATATTAATTGATATTTTGGTCTGTGGATGTTTTTTGGTTATGTATTGATTTTTGTTGATTGTTTGCTTTTTTGGTGATACTAAGGATTGAAACCAGGAGCCGTACCCTGAGCTATATCCACACATGCTATTTAGTTTTTACTTTGGGACAGGACTCTCACTAATTTGTGACTTGCAATCAGGATGCTTCAGCCCCCCAGAGTGCTGGGATTACAGGTGTGCCCCACCATGCATAACATAAATAAAGGTTATTGAGAGCTGGGGAGATGGCGCAGTGGAATAAGAGCTTCCCTGGCAAGCACAAGGGTCTGAGTTCAATTCCCAGTTCTGCCAACAAATAAATAAAGAAAAAAGAAAAATAAATAAAGGTTATTAAACTGACAACGAATATATTGTATATTCTGGATAATAAATATGTATGTATTGTCTGTAATAATATTTTACGGCCTACTTTCTTCTTGTGTATTTATTAGGTCCTTGCCTCATGGTATTCGGTCAGATCTGTCAGAAATCTGTTTATTTACCAAGGATGAACTCCAGTCAACTGAACAGACTGAACGCTTCTATAGAAAGCTTTTGAACAAGCATGGAATTAAAACCATTTCTCGGGTAGGAAGCAGGTTAACATTTTCAAAGGACTTAAAAGATGTAATTGAAATGAAGTAAATATAACACAGTTTTATATATTGTAGTATTTTTCTCTTTCTAATTTGTTGTGGCTCTAAGTAAAATGTTCTTTCTCTGATGTAAAGGCTGTTGAGGTTTGTGGCCTAAAAGCTAAATGTGTGCATCAGGATCTTTTATATCTTGCACATTATTTTGAAAATTCCTCCTTTATGTCATTCTTCTGTAGTTGCAGAGTAGCATTTGCCCCTTCCCTCTTTGCAGTTGTTGGTGTATTTGTCTTTATCACGCCCTGGCTCTTTAGCTGGGATCCTTTGTCCTGGTGTGCCCCAGCATTTAGCATCTACCTGATGCATGTTAGATACTCAGGTATTCACTGAACTGTGAGAAGCATGGTTCTAAGCTATTTTATTTTTTAAATAATTTTTTTTTAATTTATTTTTAACATTTAGTGTGTGTGTGTGTGTGTGTGTGTGTGTGTGTGTGGCCAGCTCAGCC